AACCTTTAGCCCTCGACAGATGGCCTTTTACTCCACAATACATCTCCCAGATGCTCTATGAGTGTCACCTGGTCCAGTTAGAGACGTGATTATCAGATATTGAGTTCATGGTTTTTAGAAATTTAGAGAGAACATAAAAATTTAACAATAAAATACATCACTGTTGCAAGAAAGAAAAAAATTAGATTAATACTTCATAAAATTGTTAATCTAGTGATTTAGTATGCAGTGGTGAAATACACAATTTAAAACAGGTTAACTGTTTTATTGCTGCGAGTGCTCTTTATAGTGCTGAAGCTCAGTGGATACAGTCAACATAAAATGATAACGTCCCATAGCGCAGTAAAGGTGAAGCGAAATTGATTTTCTTTTTGGCATATCAATGTGAAACTGCTCTTACTGATTGAATAGGTATTTGTGGCATGCGTCCTATGCTCCAACTGCATTTCCAGTAGTGTAAAACAGACTAAGAAGCTAAGTCAAAATCAAGTATAAATATGTTTACACATTTTGTGAATCGTTAAATGAATCCACACACATTCCCATGACAACGTGACACACAGTTTGCATTAACAGCTGGGATTACATCATGTATTCCCCAGTACAAACTCTATAGTACTCTTAAAACATTGGTTTTTATTTTTCATTGGTAGTGTTTTAAAACACATACCTGAATACATCTGATCGGTAAACGTCCAAAACTTGCTTCTACGGACATACTTCCCCATTCTTATCAATGACCGTTTACCTTCCTAATTCCTATGGAAGCAGTAAACTCTATCGAGTCATGTGAACTCTTTTTCACATAACTGTATACCACAGTTAAATGTAGTATGGCCATAAAAGTGTCTACATCACTGTGAATCAGCCTGCAGTGTTCTCATTGTATTCATTTTATTTATTTATTTTTTTAAACTGTGTGTCACAGTTTTAGACGTCCCATATGATGCTGCTTTTGTGGCTTTAGTTTCTAGAAGTAACGTCTTTATATGCACATGTACGCTTCCATAGTAAATACATTCATTTTCATTCACCAGTTAGATGTTAATAGTCAGAATGTGGTTCAGTAAGTTGGGCTTGAGGAATCCTGTACTGCTTACATTGAGGGCAAGATGGGTTCAATGTTTTTCAAAAACACTTTGAAGCTCAAACAACAGTCCAGTATCTCACAATTTACTTGGCTTTCATTTTTTTCTGAAAAGAAAATATCCCGATGTCAGATCTTGTTGTGCTCATTCACCCTTTGTGCAAAGCATCTCTCCTCACTCACACACATTTTTAAACAAGAAAGTCTGTGGCCAGTTCACACGTGAAAAAACATCATGCACCAACTAATTTTCACGCATAGTGACCTGTCCATGAA